TACTTTAATTTAAAAATTTAACAATCAAAAGCCAAACACGAGGTTCTAAGTCTCTTAATACCGTCACACATGCTGTCATTTAAACATTCAGTTAAGTATAATTATTCAGTTAAATGTGTTTCTAATCCACATTCATTTTGTCATTCATGTTCGATTTCAATTTTCGACCTATCGTGCAGGTCGTCCATCAGCTTAGCTCTGTAGGCTGAATTCCAAGGCGAAAATCACAGTCAATGGGTGTTTTGATAACGAAGCTTAATTTGGATCTACGGAATTGTTTATAGACAAACGTTTACAATACAGTTTACAAAAGTTATTTCGCTTAAACAGAATTATTCATCTAATTACCATGCAGCTTAGTTCGGACTCACTGAGAGCGTGGATAATGTTGAATCCGGAAGAAAATATCTACCGATTCTGCGGTTCATGGCTGCAAACAAACTATTGGAAACATTAAACCTGCAGTGCTGCAATGTCTTTTCGTTTTTGGATGTTATGGGAAAGTTCTGTCATGGTACAAAGGCCGTGGTTTCCTTTGGCACATTTACAATGTTGTTGGAATTACTGCTATTTGTAGCAAGCCACTTACTAAAACCATCAAACCCATGTAGCTTCAACTTTCAGCTAAAAAAATTTACGGAAATTCCACCTTAAAGATGTGGCTCTCTGTTTCTCGACAAATTGACGATGCAGCTGCGCGTCTGTGGCTGTCAACGGGTTGTGTTGCTGCAGCAATGGCAGAAATGCGCTGGTATACATAATGTGAAACTGCTTGACGAAGTGGACGAAAGCAGGCCGTTTCGCATAGTGCAATCAATTACCCTAGCTGCAATAAATTTTCATCTTTATATGTTGCAATTTCGTCATGAACTCCCCCGTTGCCGGTCCCAAGCTCGATTGGGAAAGGTGGGTTGGAGACCGTGGTGAAGTCTTCGCAAAACTTAGCCACTTGCCCCACATGGTATTGACTTAATCGAAAATTATGCCGGCTCAATCGTCACCCTGGTTGCAAACTGCTGCGCAGGCTGTTAGGGGGGATTGAAGTAGACTGTAAAAAGTCGGCGATCACAACTGCCCATTGCCTTCTGCTAGCGGGGATGTAGTAAAACATAAATGGCTGGCGAAGTTAGACGGGACGACCATTGAAGATAACAGACAGCAACGGATTCGCCACCCCTTCTGAACAGAGGAGGAAGATAGAGCGAGGTTCCACGATAGCGATACCGCCAGTGGGAGCTTACATTCGGAAATTGGAATCTATTCTTACTCAGAGGGAAAGAGCCGGATCTAGTAGATGAGGCCATAAAGTATCAACTCGACATCGTTGGACTCTTGTTAAAGAAGCGCTAAGGTGAACCTCTGCTGGTGGAAGCTATTCCACCTAGGTAACAACGTCACGACGGCCACTGAGCCCAGTGTTGGTATTTCTAGTGGAACCTAACCTGGCTGATAGAATCACTGAACGGAAGCCTGTCAGCGGAAGAGTGGCAATTTTCCGACCAAAGCTACAACAGGCTAAAGCAGTGACATTGTTACGGGTCTATAAGCTCAATTTAGAGGGAGAATATGACCACTTCTTTGAGGAAGTGTATTGTACTCTGTACGAAGTGCCGGCTAAGGAGAATCACTCATACTCATGAGCGATTTTATTGCGCATGTCTGAGCAGACGCTGAAAAGTGGAAAAGGCGCGGTTGGAAAGAACAGCCATAGCGATCTCAACAACAACGGCATGAAATTGCATCGGTTTTGTGCAAACAACGGATTATCCAATAGAAACACCTTCTCAGAGCATCGAAGAGTGCATCAGTGTACCTAGTACTGGGAAGCTAGTGTACAGAAATCGATGATAATCATATCATCTTACTTAAGTGTAATGGGTGTTCGCGTTCAGAGAGGATCAGAGCTGTTAACCGTCCTGGAAGGCAGAAGAAGAGTGTTTGATGGACACAAGAGATGCAAGTGGCAGTTAGAAAGAAGAAGGTTATGTCCATGAAATGGATTGGAAAAAAACAACCTTCAACTCGCATGCGATATATGTGGAAGAGGGCAGGGCGGCAGAGAAAACAGTGGTAAAACCCAAACGTGATTTCTCGCAGAACTTCGATGAGGCAGTTGGAGTATTCGAGACGGTGAACAAAGAATTCTGGCGGGCCATACGCAGGTTCCAAGGTGAAAATTAGGCAATCTGAGGGTCATGAAAGAAAGGTCTGGATACCCTACTACAAAGTACAAAGACATTCGTTGGCAACTGAGAGAGTACTACGAGGAACTCTTCAATCTCTAGCAACCACAGGAAGACTCGCCTGTAGAACAGAAGGGTACGGATATTATTATTTCTGCTGA